ATATTTATCTATGTTTTGAATTTTTTTTTGTGAAAATCTAATTGAATAACGAGTGTGACTTGCATATAACTAAAAATTATATTAATAAAAAAATAATAAAACAATATTGGTTATTGACTTATTAACATTTTTTTTAGGCCATCCTTTATTTAATAGTAAAAAAAACCCAGCACAGGGGGGTCGCGGCATAGTTGGATCAAGTATAATGATATCTGACAGTGATTAAAATCACTATAAAAAAAAAAACGCTTCGATGCAAATCTTTAGATAGTGTTTAATTTAAAAAAATTGGTGGATTATTCCAAAAGCTACATAATCTGCTAGTTCTTTATTAATATCCTGATTAGAAGTATTATGATTTATAAGTGTAATATATAAATATAAAGATAAATAAATATTATTTCTCATGAAAAAATTGTATTGATCCATACACTTTTCAATAAGTTATAGCATTATTAAGTTAAAAATATAAAATCGAGAATTTTCACACAAAAATAGCATTTGGTAGCCATTTTCACTATGAAGACAAAATAAAGTCCAAAATTTTTTTTTCCATGATAAAGAATATTACATTAGCTTTAATTTAAGATATATATAAAAGTGTTAGACTTTCCATAACACTTTCAAAAGTTAAGTTGAAAAAGATCATTTTTGTGAAAAAGTTGTCATTTTAAATCACTTCCTGTGAGCAGGTAAAGGGTCAAATTTATAAAAAAAAATATACTAAATGATAGGTAAAGATATCATGCATCCATAAAAAAAAATGATATTGATTTGTTCATTTTTCAAAAAGTTATGGTAGTTTTAAGTAAATAAAATTGAAAAAAATTCGAAAACTAGCGATTTTTAAAATTTGTAATTTTTTTGTAGATTTCCCCCATTTACGGGGAACGAGGGAAATTTTAAAATTTTTGAGGGCAATTTCTTCGAATAGATATTTGTAATATTGTGACGTATCGTTGAAAGAAATAGGTTCGGCGAGAGCTGAGAAAAAATAATAACAGACACACGCAAAAAAAAACACTTCATAGTAAAACCAATACATCGCATCGAAGTTAAAAATAATAATAGGTTCTCATAAAACTTTCGAAAGTTACCTCTAAATTGTACTCTTAGAAATAATTTTCATACATTAAACTGAATTATAAAATGTTTTATAAAAGTTTAATAAATTTTAATATTCAAGGTAATTCTTTTAACGCTAACTACTCGATTAATCTTAAAGTACTAATTTCTTTGTGGTTTATTTTTGGTCTTTTGTTAGTTACATATATATTTATATTTATATGCTATTTTTATGTTCTTTATTTATAAAGATATAAGTGTCAACTTAATTTTTAGGTGATAATATACGAAATTAACTAGCTTATTTATTAGATAATAATCTATTTAAAAAGATGACTGTTCGATAGCAATTGTTGTATCAGTATTTCAGAAATTATAACTAACTTAAAGTCATGACTGGGTGCAACTATTTATCACTAGTCATTTCTTGATCTTTTTAACTTCATCCCGTCTATGTAAAAATATAAATGACTTCTGAAATATCTTTTCTTAATTATATTATTATCTAATATATAAACAATAAAGTTTAACTCCTTGTAAGGCATAATGGATAAACATAAAAAATATTTTATAACGCATAAAATTTCTGCTAAATTGTTTTTTTTTTAAGTGAGGTAAATTTTGTTTTAGTCTTATAGAAAATGACGCTATTTCCTTGTTCAATCGATTAATAACTTAGAAAATTAATTTTAATGTTGTTTTTGGATTAAAATTTAAATTGTTACAGCTGGAATAATGCAACATAAATTAATTAAGAGCTTTTATAGTGTAATGCATAGCAAGATAAACTTTGTTATTCTAAGATAACGGGTGTAAACTATGTATTATAAGACCCTTTACCTCCATTTCACGTTAATATTTAATATTAATATTTGGCTAACCTCAATTGTAAAAATACTTTATTTTATTGTTAGTAATAATGATATTAAAGTAAATGTTATGTCTTAATTTTACATGTAAAAATTGCGTTTTAAAAATTTTATTTATTATACGAAAGTGTATAGTTTTATACACAACTATTTAGTTTAGAAGACATTTATTTTAATATGATTTGTTTCTTCAATTTCTTATATTTAATAGAGCACATTTCATCAATTTTCTGTAATTAATTTTTTTAAATCTATTTTTTTGAAAAAACAATAAATTATATTCCCTAAATTTGAAGAAATACGTGTACATTGTAAAGACTTGAAGTTTGTCGTTTGGCCAAAAAAACTGAATTGTACATCAACCACATTGAAAATTAATGAATTGTCGTTTAACAATGTCAGTTGAAAAGTTTAACTGAATTTGCAAGAGCATTGAAATTTGGTTAATTGAGTATAGAGAGAAAAGAAAGGCTTTTAACAAGTTATAGTTTTTTTTGTAGTTATGTAGACTATTAGGTAAATTACGAATGGCCAACTTGACGTAATTTAATGTTCCAAAATATCATAACTATTTAGTTAAGTCATTTTTTAATTATTGATAATGTTGGAAAACTTGAAAGCTTTGAAAGCCATTTTGCTTTTGTTTAATAATGAGATTAAGACGATTTATAAGAAAGTTGATTTAAAAATTTGAATAATTTTCATTTTAGATTGTCTTTTTTATTTAATTATATTAAAATGAAAATTTAAACTGAATTAAGTTTTTATCTCTTAGATTTATAACTTATCTTGATTAAAAATACTCTACCATCTTATTAGTTTTTTGTCCTATTTGAATAACTATAGTAGTGAGCACATTATTTTTAATTTTCTCTCTTTTTTTTCGTGGAATTCCTTTTAATTTATTATTTGTTTTAAGAAATTATCCAAGAAAATGTTTTTCAATAAAATTGGAAAAAGCATAAATTTACAAATATGTAAATGAGATTATTGCAAATGATGTGGTATGAAAATAAGGTAGATTATTAATATGGTTTTATTAAAAAATATCAAGAGTCAAAATGTTAAGTTTTTAAAATAATGGTCTACTATATTTCTTTGTCGCATATCTTATAAAACTAATTGTTATTATTGGTTTATTGAAGTGGAAGTATAGAAAATAATTAACTGCATATTAGTTTTATTTCAATTTTAATAATAATCTAAACTAATTTATAATGTAAAAATAATAAAAAAAATAAAAAATATCTAAATTAATTTTTTTATATACCTTTGTTTAATGTAATAGATAAAAATATGTTTGTTTTTATGATTGGTTTTTATTTAGTTGTACAATTTTTAAAAAGATATTTAATATTAGCACATAATTTTAATATTTTTTTTATGTTAAACCGTCGGGTTTTTTTTATAAATGCTTAACACTTAATTTATTTTTTATAAAGTAAATTGTTCTCTGATAGAATAATAGTCGATATGCCAAAGGTCATGGAAGGATTTTGACATGCTCAGTTAAAAATAAAACATTATTGTACACTACTATTGCTCGCAGAAAATTATTATTCGAATTAGGGTTGGTTTACTACCTCTAAACAGTGTTACCGTCACGAACGTGAAAGGTAGATATCCTGAATGTTTTGCATACTGACTCCTTCAAAGCTTTGTCATAAAAATCAAATGTGACATTCGTTAATAAAGCAGATATTATTTCTTTATTATTGTCATCTTTGTGTATTCTGCTACCCGTAAAGTGGAGTCAATAACAGTAAGACCTATTAGAAGCTATATTAAATACTCAAATCCCTATCCTTAAGAAAGTCCACATATCTATTTCATATGCTTAAGTTTATTTAAAGTGATTTCATCTATATAAATCATTGACGTATGTGTAGAGGTCAACTTTAATTAACTCATTTGTTGACGTACTGGTTTAGGAAAAATAAGTTGATATTGTACAACAGCATATACAATTTTTAAAAACTTTTATTTTTGTTAAAATAATGTCGACATTACAAAGGGCAGACATGTAACTGGCTGAGATCTAACATAGAAGTTATTCAAATTTCAAATTCATTGAATGTTATAGTAATTTAATAATTAAATAAAGTAAATACGCTAAAATTCTGATACAATAAGCTTATCAATGAAATCATTGAGTATAATATCAGCAGTTTTGTGTTATGCACCATAACTTGTAATAATTAACAATGGTTTTGTATTTTAAGTATCATCGTTAATGGTGCAAATAAAGTGGCTGAAATTTTGGCATATTGTATTTTTTATTTCAAATAGTCTTCCATAAAATACTTGCTTAAAGAGTTTTCAGCACGATGGTTTCAATAAGGAAATATTGAACACACCATTGAACATTCGATAAGGCAATTATTTAAGTCTATATTTTTTCCTCAGTAAATTTATAATAGGCGTTGGACCATAAATACGTCTTTGGATCAAGTAAGTTTACTGCCAGTTCATTGGAGTACACTCAATAATTGTCTGTTGAATATTTAATGGCTGACATAAATAAAAATTGCTTAAAGTTACAACAAAGCATTTGTTTTTGAAATAATGATAGTAAACGCATAAGCTGTCTTTGGAAGTGTCTTTAAACGTTTATTATTCGATATTTTTAACATTTTAACAAAGTTAATTATATCGATTTTGTTGTTACCTGCTAGCAATTTGTTGTTATCCACCTTCGCACAATTCTTATTGTGCACATGACAAGTACCCTTGGGTACATAGTGACCGAGACAGTCAACGAACTTGAGGCTTTAGGAAATATTTTTATTTAAAGCATTGACGAGTGTAATTTAGAGATGTTAGATTAAAAAAAAAAATATATTTGTAAATGTCATTAACACACGCTAGGCGTTAACATTGTGATGTGTATACATATTTCCTGATTTTCAAAAAATCACATAGTATAAATGTTTATTTAGGATGTAAATTGTTTTCACGATCCTGAGTTTTCAATAGATAACATTATTAATAACAATTTAACGGATTGAACATTTCGTTTGAGTTGACTATCTCATTACACTAATAAATTTATTATGTAAAATTTACCTTAAAAAATATCCTAAAGATGTTTTTGAATACGAGCTATTGAGTGGAATTGTCTACGTTGTGTGTTGATAACGATGATTCCCATTAGGTATGGCTATTGTACAAAAAGTTTACGTTCTTTTCAGTTTTTTCAAATATTATAACGTAAAATATCGAATGTGCAACTTTTATACATAACAAATAAAACAAATTAATATGTTAAAAAACAAATCAATAAAAATTACTTTAAAAAACTTGAAATAAAAATAAATTTTTTTTTTATTTTTTGCAAAACCCTTCAAAATTAACCACGTATCATTAGTCCAGCTCGTCTTGTTAACTTTACCCCACTGCAGGAGGATCGACGGGCGTCGGTCGGCGTCGGCTCGCATTTACAACGGTGAAGCAGAGCGTTGTCGTCGAGTTGCTCCGGAACTACACAGTCATGATGCCTAAGCAATCGATAGCCGATAGCCACTGCCGTCAAAACCCTGGGACCGCGCCCTCTCTGACATATCGAATGCAAGTGTGTAGGGGCTCCAGCCCTTTCCCCGCGATGGCGCCCGTTAACTTAGTAGCTTGGTCCTTGATAATGATTTAGGTATTAGTGGATTGCAAAACTCTCTCAAAAAAAAAAAAGACTGATAAGATCAGATTTATTTATTAGATTAGACAGATAGCATTTTAATAAAACGACAGATGTGCATTTTTCAATAAGTATTGTGTTACAAAAAACACATTTTTTGAAACACTTTATAAAAATATTTCAAGATGTGAGAGCAATTAAAATTAAAGAAATATTAATTATGTAATATACATATAACATGAAATTTTGTGTTTTAGTTAAAAGACGTTTTCTATAAATTTTTGGTGCAATGCAAGATTTCCTATGTATAGTTTAGATTTGTACTCCGTGAGAGGTAATAAATTATATTAAGCTCCTATAAGAGACTGAAAATTAATATTGGTATTAAATGGAATATAGATTCTAAATTATAAATCTTTAACAAATAGTTGTATCAGATTGATATATGTACATATAGGGTAAGATATAAACTAGACTTTATACAGTTCATCTGTTTACAATAACCCATTAAACTACTCGCAAAGTATATTCAATTAAAAAGAAAAGTTTTTTTTTTTTTTAGTTGCTTGTATTTTAGTTATTAATTACTTTTTAGCATTATCTCTTAAAATAAACAGGAGTATTACATTTATTTTTTTAATGGTAATATACATGTTCAACTAGCTTAAAAAGTCTAAAATGGCCTATTCATAAAAATGACGGATTAAAAAATTTTTATACAAAAGTAATTCGGAAATTATGTCGATTTTTAAATGTAGACTTAAAAAGAGACACGAATTTGACTATTTTTATTATTTTTCTGCTGCACTCCTATTCTTTTCTTGGTATAAAAGTGTAAAAACTTTATTTATTACTAGATCATTATTTAATAAAAGAATCTAATTTATTATGTATGTTACGATTTGAAAAATTACAATTGACGCTAACAATGTATCAAAAGTAGAAATAATTATTACACCATTATTAATAAATGATATGTAACTGAAAGAAACCAAAAAAAAATCTTAATTTTATACATAGTGATTTATTAAAAACATTGCCCTCCATATGTTTGTTAAATAAAGACTTTTTAATAAAAATGTACAAAATATTGTAAAACATTGATAATATCAAGTTTATTTTTATTTCTAACGGTAGTTTTTAAGGGTAATTTTCGAAAGTTAAATGGAAATCTATTATTATTTTTTTAATATTAGATGGAGAATGGCCTAAATAAAATGTTGACAGGTTGATAACCAGTATTGTATTATTACTTTTTGAATTAATATAATTTTTAGTGATAGACGTGTGGGGTGCACAATGTATTATTATTTTTGTATTATGAAAAAAATAAGGCGGCGCTAAATATTGCCCATTTTTTACTTATTTTAAATATTTTAATGATAATATTTCAAAAAGTAATAACACAAAACTGATTTAAATTAAAATTTTATTTAGACCATTTTTCATTTAATAGCAAAAATAATAATTTATTCTCAATTAACTTTCGAAAGTTACTTCTAAAATCTATAATTATGAATAATTTTCATAAAATAAAATAGATATTTACGATAACTTAAAAATAAATCAAATTATAATTTGTACATTTTTAGAAAAATAAGGTGTAGTATACTTAATAAATCGGGTACATATTTTTCAATTAATTAATTTATAAATAATAAAAGAATCACCTTATTTACATTATAGTAGTTTTTAGAAAAAAAAAAAGAAATTTTAAATTTTAATAGAGTCTTCTACGAATTGACATTTTTAAGTATATAAAACGAGCCTCAATCAATTTTAAATGGTAATTTTTTGGACATAATAGATAACATTTATTGACAAATTACAAAAATGATCAAAAATCCCATTTTATAATTTAAGCTTTGAGTAAATTATACAGAGTGTTCAGTAATTAAGAAAACAGGTCATTTGTTAGAAATAGTAATGCTCGTTTCCTTACTTACTATACACTATATAAATACATATTTTTTAGTTAAGTAAACAAATTATAACAATATTGAGCATTGCTTTCCGAAATTAAAAAATGTCATGTTATACTTGAATATTATAAGTGTTTAAACAGGAGAGTGAAGTATTAATACAAAATTTTAATAAGAATGGTCAGCTATGTAATACATTATTAGTAGATATTATAGTTTTTTTTATTTGCGTCATGGACTCCATAGAGTTGAACATTAAAAATGTGTACTATGTAAACAAAGCATTTGGATTATTTCCTTTTTCAAGAGATAAAGGATATTTCTCTTTAGTATATTCAATTATGGTGTGGTCTTTTGTCTTTTATTTGAACTTCTATTTTTTTCTTGTAGTAAAAAAATTGATAATTTCCTTATTTAAAAACGATTTATTGGTTCAGGTAACAAAAAAAAAGAAATTAATATTAGAATAAAACATGTTAAATTAAGTTATTTTTTATTATAATCATCGTGTAGATTAAACATAACAATAGTTATTATTTTTAACTTACATAATTTTCATGGTAAAAATATATGGAAGGAGTTCAGTAAGTAAAGAAATGGGTTTCTATTGTTCTCATTGTTAGTAACATCTGACTTGTTTCCTTACTTACTGAGCCCTCTGTATACTCATTTTTGTGTTTTATATCAATATATAATTAAATTATATATTTGCAAAGCATAAAAATTTTAACATGTTTATTTACTAATGCTTTTATCATAATAATATTTTTTTTAGTTTACGGTACTGAAGTTTGTTATTCAAAGTGTCACGTTTTTTATTAGTATAATTGTATCAGCATATCAAAACAACAGTTTTTTTTCTCTAGTCGATCAGTTTCATTGCTACGATTAGTATTTTCAGAAAACTCATGTTTCATGTGTAGATTTTACATTTTTAAAATAACATTGAAATAATATTTATATTTTTTTATATTGAATATAGTATCATAATGGTCGCTTCGTTGCAGTATGCTCTATTTGTGAGAATGTTAGATAACAGATATAAAATAGTTAATAAAATTTTAAAAGATTGTAAGTGAACTTTAGTAAATTTGCCATAATTTTTTTAGGTTTTTTGTAGTTTGTTTTTGTTATTTGTAAAATGATTGCAAAATACCAAAAAATTTAATACATTTTTTGTACAAACATTTGTACAGTGCATTTAAAAAAATAGTGTAAACAGCGTTGACGTATTAAAAAATATATGGTCAGGGAACTAAACTTTTTTTTTCGAAAATATTTATTTTGATTTTAAACTTGTATAACTTTATAATATTATTATAAAATACCTTATAAGGGGAAGCCACTTATATTTATAAAAATTATAAGAATATAACGAGCATAGAATATAAAGTTGAACTTATTTTTAATTTTTTACTCCTTTTAAGTCGAGAAAAACAATTTTAATATTTTGAACTAGTTTAAATTGTCTTTTTTTATCAATTTAAAAATGTGATGTATAATTACTGTATCAGTATTACGTCCATCGCAGTTTTTCTGAACTTCTTTCGTTAATCTTTTTGAGTTTAAGAAAAATCTCAAAATTAATATGATTTTTATCTCATTTAGATTGATTAACTTGTGAGAAGGAATTTGTTATTTATATTAAAATTATTTCGCTATAAAGTTTTTATTTTGTGTCTGTCATTCAATTTTTTCAACTCTCATTTGACCAATTTTTTTTAACGGTTTGTCAAATGATCACAACCCGTACCTAGTTGATGTTAACACGCTCAATAATTGAACAAAAAATCCTCTTTATCATTTAAAGAGTTACTTCGATCAATTTATCAATATAGACATAATCGTTAATTTGTAATGTATTTAAAGTATTCGTTGTTATATGATAATAGGTTTAAATTTAAAAGTTTTATGATTTTACTTTGTTATTTATTAATTTCTCAATTATATTTATTTGGTCTAAATTCCAGTCTATCATTTCATCTATTAAAGGTAATGCCTTGTCGTTGAAGCCACTCCTCTTTGTTTGACGCCAACAGATTATTGTAGACACTACAGATTTGCATCGAAGCATTTTTTATGGTAGTTATTTTAACCCCTGTCAGATATCATCTGATCATATTTGTCTCAATCATGCCACATGCGCAATGTGCATGTGTTTTTATAGTTGGATTTAAAGTTAACCTCAGATCACATATTTATACACGTTTATTTAATGATCACAGTTTTTGAATTTTAAAAAATTGTTATAGCTTAAAATGGTATAGCTCAATCTATTGGCACTTATTGGTTGGTTTGTTTTTTTTCTTTTTATTTATATAAAAATAATTGTTTATAAATATTTTTTTTAGGTATAAACAATATTAATGTTGGATATTCGAGAAATATTAGACAATTATTTAGTGAATTTCAATTACTTACTAATAATGTAAAATGTTATTATGGAATGCTTGTGTTTTTACTTGTTGTGGAAACAATAGTTATAATTTGTATAGACGCTACCACAATATCATATAATTATTCATATTCAATTGATAAATTAAATTCAAAAATAATTTTGATACTTATTGGTTAAATACTAATTCGTCTTACATTTTTAATATTTATAGTAAGAAAAGTCGATAACACCACAATTGAAGTAAGTAAATAATTTATCAATTTCTTATTTTATTTATATATACATAAGCTAAAAAGCCAAATGGTAAATAAGCATTATAAATATAAATATACGGAATGTAAAATAGAAGGTACAAAGATTTTGTTTATTAGCATAATACATTAGTTATTGTTCTTCTTCTTCCTCGCCTTAATCCCAACTATTTGGGTTCTGCCACCCATTTTCTAAACTTCCACTTGACATGA